TCACTCTTTTCCAGAGTTTTTCCAGTTTTTGGGCAATGGTGTTTTCTCGGTCACTTTGATGCGCGATCCTGTCCCCCTTTTCTCTCGAGCTCCTTCTTTTATACTACCCTCGCGGTAAACGTCAAAAACTAAATCTAACCGTCTAATTTGTTCATGAGCAAGAAGTTTTCTTAAATACGATGCCATTTCATTGTCTGCATAGCCTTAAAAATTCTTTGATTGGAGGGGTGACACAATATTAACAATAGCTGCACCATCTAACAAAACTGCTGAAATTTGTGATGGCCTCTGTATCTCTGTAATTGTTTGCTTGTCAAAGATTTTCAAAATATCTGATTTTGTAGTTTGCCTCAGTTTTCCATACATTGAAAGTGCGAGTGGATCAACATGATTCTCATGCGCAAAGAATTCACTTAAATCACTTTCTCTGCTTTGGCACACCAAGTAAAGTCGTGAAAACAGTTGACAGTCCTGCTTCAATGAGGTCAGCTTTAGTTTAGATGTTGATGTTTTGATTGAATTTTTGTTTCGAAAAAGACTAAAACTGTTGCGCTTAATTGGGTCATGAACAAATACATTAGAGCAACAAAGGCCACTACTTCCTTTCAAACTATCTAAGTTCTGAGGACTGGGCAGGAGTAACCCTGTCTGAAAATAGCACTATTGGTATTTAAAGGCCAGAGGATTGCTTTAAACTTCCTCAGCATATCAAATTGTGTAAGTTTACCAAGTTTTAATGAGTATTTAGATAACTGTATGAAAGTTGCCATGATAACGTCTTCTGAGGACTGGGCACGAGTACACTGGTCTAAAAATAGCACTATTGATATTTCTGAGTTATGAAACCACTTTAATCTTTTTTATCATCTTAAATTATGTAGTTTTACTAAGTTTTGTGGCTCTATAACTACTAGAAACATACTAACCACACTTACATCCTCCGAGGACTGGGCACAAGTGCCACTTGTCTAAAAGTCGCACAAAGGGGTATTTCCAAGTTGAGAGATTACATTTAACTTTTTCGGTATATCAAATTATGTAGGTTTGCAGAGTTTCTTGGTTGTAAAGCTAACAGGAAGGAATTTAACACAATACAGTGTTCCGTGGACTGTGCACAAGTACCCTAGTCTAAAAATAGCACAAGGGGCTTTTTTCAGAAGGGGTCTATATCCTATCTTGTTACGCATATCAAATCGTGTATTTTCGCCAAGTTTCATGCTTTTATCACAATTTGCACGATTTTTCAGCTTATCGACCTCACTAATATTTAGTCTTTGATGTTCAAGTTTTGCATGAACTCAGCGAACGTAAAAGAGTCCTTGATTTGATACAATGTTTTGAATATTTTTGAAGAACAGGGTCCAAAGCTTCAGAAAGCCACTTAGCCAGTTCGTGTTGTGCTGAGCCAATCATAGACAAAATGGGTCTAAGTGGGACATTCGGCTTGTGTATTTTAGGGAGGCCATACATTTGTGGACGTTGTGAACCTGTGGGTCTTATCCTATCATAAACTTCGTTGGTCAACACTTTTGAGTTAACCAGCTACAAAAGGCGTTTTTAAAGTTTCCGCTCTAGCTTGGCCGTTTTATCCTGTGTTTCGACGTCACCCAGTTTTTCGAACTTTTCTTTGTCGAGGAGAAAATTCTCCATTATTTGGATGTAGTCCTTTTTGTTAAAAAAATACCACTCCTGACCCTTTATCAGGCTTAGTAATAAAGATGTCATTATTAGACCGTAGAGATTATAATGCTTGAAAATGTTCTCTATGCAAAAGAAAAACTGAGTGGTCGATGGGAGAGCCGCTGTAAGCGTACGCCAAATCGCTTAGTCGTGCTCGTAATTTGTTGAATTCCAAAGCATATGAAATATCGTGCCTGACAAGTTTAGCGTGTAAAATTTCGAAGTCAGCAAAAAATTTCTCTCTGTTTATTCGTTGTGGTGGGATACAAAACTTAAGACCATTGCCTAAGACAAATGTTTCGGCTTCAGAGAGAGAATAGTCTGACAGATTATAAATGTTTTTTTGAATCGCTCATCAAGCCGCCAAACGTTTCCTAACTAGCATGCCAATGTTCCTATCATGTTTTTCTGTAGTCTGTTTTAGCTTCCGCTGGTCAATTTCAGAAATGTAGCGGCAAAGTCGAAAATTATCAAAGAATGTGAGAAACAGACGCGTTTTAGACCATTGGCGTGTATATAAACGTTTTATATTCAGAATATTAGTTTTAGTTTTCTGAATTTCATCTTGTAGAAAAGCGCGCTCAATGGTTGGGCTGTGTCTAACACCAGACTTAGAAATACGAGCGGTGATAAATTCAGGTGCAACCCGATTATTCAAACATAAACTGAGAAAGGATAAAGAGAACCTGGCCGACCCCAGCTTACCTCTAAGCTTAACCAATGCGTTGCGATCCTCAATCTCCTCATTTGTGTACCTCTGCTTGAAATATGCAAACAATCTTTTGGTGGTACAAAACTTGAAAATGGCTTTGAAAAAAGCAAACATCTCCTACTTACCCTTTTGGAATGATGGTTAATTGTAATTCTATTGAACCGCTAACGAAAAGTTAGGGCTGCTACTCCGCAGAGTAACAATAAGATGGAGAACACTTTCTGATAAGAACAATTTTGTAGGAACATGAACCACAAACCGATCGAAAGTTAAGAGCAAATGAATTACAAGCTGAGGCCTGAACACCCCCCTGGAACACACTAGCTAGTAATTGCACTGCTCATACCCTAATAATTTAAGAATAAATTAAGAAGAATTCAGCCTCAAATCTTACGAAATAATTAAGGGCAGCCTGCCTGAACATCAATCTACTTGTTTTTATGAAAATACTTCCCAGAATCCTTCCTACTGTCGTAGGGGCTTGTCTCAATTAAGGAGCATCGACAATATCATTTTTCAGCCAACGTGCATGCTTTTTGAACAAGGGACAGAGGAGCATTGAACCTCCTTTTCATAAGTTTATCAAAAATATACTTTCTATTATCAAGAAAACGTTTCTCTCGGGGAAATATGTTTTTTAACTGAGTATTAATCTGATACACAAGTGCCAGTACTAGTTCATTGTATTTGGTTTAAATTTGGCATAATATAGGTATTTGCAGAGTTGAAGGCAGCACAAACTAGAGTATATAGTTTCACTTGAATCATGCAAAAATGAAACAAAGTCATGAAATATTATACTAGCAATATTTTGATTGTGCAATTATATAAATATCATTAAACATTGCGCAGAATGATTCAGCATAAAAACACAGATTCGACAAAACGTTAGTTAATAGCAATAAACTTAAGGTCTAAGTTCAAAATTGAATCATTCTCGTGTGGATATAAGGGGCTTGTTGAAAAAGAAAAAATCAGATAAGCCACTAAAATTCGTCTACCTATTGGCAACAAGCTTACTGCTCATTCTTAATGTTCTAGCGTCTTAACGTTCTGTGCGAATTTCAAACTAGCTTCGATTAGTGATGGCTATGTTTGAAAATCAAACATGCTGTAGTAATACGTGTAACACTTCCGAATATATTTTGCATAATTTTAACATTAATAGTTATATTTATTTAAAGCTCATAAACGAAAGAAATAATACGCAATTACAAATAAAAAAATGGTACCAATAAGATCGACGAAATAATCATTGCACAATGAACTCCTAACTTTGGAATACATTGAACTTTATATTATCATACTGCTAAAATACACACAATAAAGTGACAAGTTTTCGATACAGAAATTATAAAATCGAGTAGCCGGTTTTTTAAACAAACCATGCTTAATGCAATCCTATTGATTTTGGCTTATCAAGCAATCTTCCTCTTTGTTAAATGCGAAACGATATTATGTGGCTTTTTAAAATAATCAATGAATACAGAGGTCGTTGTACACAATACCTTAATCGATTGAAAAACAAACAGAAAAAATTAGATTCAATATTTGCTTTACCAATACCTAAGCAGACATCCTTCGTTAAGGAAAGCATTAATTCGAAAAGAAAAAAAGCAATTCAAAGCAATAAATTAAAAGCAATCAATACACGCTATCAGATTATATATAACATGGCTAAAACGCTATCATACAATGATTAACAATAATAAAAATAACAAAAAAACTGCTGATTATCTGTTCATCTAATTGCGAGTATAAAATACATATACCTAATTTTTATAGAGCTTCTAAAAGAATTTTACTGTGTTAAACAAGAATGTTGTAGTCAATGTTGACAAACAAGAAAATACCATGAGCAAAAATACAACAACCATCGTCGTTTTATACCTCTTGTGCAATCGTTGTGAATGGCAGACATTTCAGTTTCTATTAGTATGGCAAAAACCTGCTTGAAATCTTGTGTAAAAATATTCTAGAATGCGTGACATAACAAAAATAGTCCTTGAACTAGGAAAAGATATCAATGGCCATGCTTTTCACAATTGTGGCTCTAAAAGAATCTGCATGCTTGGTATTTCTGAATCACAGACACGGTTTCCAACTCTCTCCAACAAAGCTGCGGTTTAACGAAGAATCAAAATATATAATCTCCATAAAATGTTGCTAAAATGTCCTATACGAGTATCTAAACACTTCGAAGGGTCAAAAAAGAACCTTCATTATCTATCAAGCTTCACAATTTCAACTCCATCACTACGTGTTATTGCACCTCATACAACCATACCGCGATCTAATATTCTTCCCCTTTGGAAGGGCGTCGTCTACAGCTTTTCAACGTAACTGGTTGGAACATAGCCTTCCTCACTACCTCGAGCAACCAAAGTCCACCCACTTCCATCATCATCCACAATTACCAACTCTTCACCTGCTGACACTGTGAACTCACCATCAGATCGACCTGTCAAAAATCATAATGCAAACAACATAATTTTCAATTACATACCTTCTAGGAACACAGTCAAGCTTGAGACATCAAAGTTATTTTTTCTAACGCTTTGTGATCAAATGGAATTAGAAAATTAAGTTTGAATAGAAAGCCTGATCATGCACAAGTTGGAGGATAGTTGCAGGATTTCGCCGCAAATTCACCAAAATAGTCCAGAAAAGCTTCGTTTGTATTCACTAGATAAACCTAACTCACTAAATGGGCCTTTTTGCTAAAGCATTGAGGACCAAGTGCAGTCTTGGCTGGGTACTTTTAAAGTCGTTTATCTTTAAATGACCTCTTCGTTTCTCAGTCACGAAACCTACTGTAATCCAATAAGAGAAGAGGTGTAGTGAAAGCGAATCTTACCTTCAAAATCGTATAGTACCGTGCATTTGGGCTCATCAAACTCATCGGTTAAAGGCGGAGGAGGAGGGACAGGTGGTCCCGTCACTTCAACAGTTGGTGCTCCAACTGGCGGCATACTAGCATTGTTCTGAGGTGGAGGTGGGGCAGCGGGAACATGGTCGTTGGACACATTACTCGATATACTCTGCATTGAACTTGATCCGCTCATTTTGGATGGCATAGTCGGAGGTGCCGTCTCTTCGATAACAGCTAAGTAACACTGAAAGAGTTGTTGGTATAAGGGTTATAAACGTCTCATCTCAAGAGCCCTGAAGTTGATTTACATCATTGTCATGCTCATTGAATGTATTTAATTTTTACACTGAAGTCCTATTAATGATTCAACCAAGACTTGAAACGAAAACAAATAAACTAAAATCATTCACTTTGTGAGTTAGGTCAATATCCACAAATTACCATATAAAAAAGCAATAATGCTGCATCGAAAAAGAAAATTTCTTACCCGGTATTGATGAAGGAGATGGTTAAATTTGTCGATTTCTTTGGCATTAGCATCAAGCTGCGACTGGATTGTTTGCATGTCACCCCCAAACTGAGCAACTGTCTCTGACATTTTAACGAGTGCATCTCTGCAAGGTATTATAGTGGAAGTGAGAAAAAGACAATTTTTACAAGTGTTTGATGTACAAAACAGGTTTTCAAAAGTAAAGAAACATGTGTAGGCCGTAATACTTTTTAAGGACTCGTCATGTTCTTAAAATCCAATACTGAAAATACTCGAAGAAATAAACATAGCTTATAAAACATCAAATATAAATCCAGTAATGAAAAAAGTAAAAATCAAGAATTTAACAAATTTCAACCTTGACTTGGTCTGTTGATTAACCTGATCCTCAAGTTCTCTGATCTTCTTGTGAAACTTCTTTCTTCTTTGCTCTGGTGGTAAATCACTAAAATCGTCAGCATAGTCTTCTTGATTTAGTGCTTTTGCCTTAAAAAGAGTAAATTGTTCTTTTACTTGAGGAAAGCATACAATTCTACAACGATTGAACAATTCACAATAAGACATTCTTGGGAAGTAAGGTTTTGTTTAAAAACATAAAATTAGAATTCTTACAGAGGTCAATGTATATTTTAACAAAAGGTGTAAGTTTTTTATACACCCCTTTCTTCCTGGCACTGGAAGCTATTTTACCTTACAAACAGGGGCGGCTGGGAGTAAATTTTTTTTGGTATTACTTTTTCAAACGTATGGAAAATGCATGAAAAAGGAAAATTAACAATTTCTTTATGAAGGAATTTTGAACCTCCTCAGCTGGAGGGGTATAGGGGCTTTGCAACATCCCCCCCCCATTTGGCCCAGCTATACGTATGCATATCTTCAATTGACTCTAAACAACAAACAAAAAGTCACTAAAAGACATAAATTGGTCGGGTATACACATTTTTGTAAGCAACTAAGAATCTGAGCGAATGCTGAAAGTTTTAAGTTAATTGGCAATTTTAGTGCTGTATCTCCTAGAAAATAAATGCAGATACTTCCTTGCTAGCATTTCAAAAAGAAATCTATGAAGAGCCTGATTTCCTGTTGGTCTTTTTAAACAAACTGGAGGGCCGTAACATTTGTCTGAAGGGCTTTCGAGTGATGATTAGTCGTGAAAAATATTTGGCGGCCCCTTCCTCTGAGCCACCATGTGGGCCCGTTATTAGAATCGCGATTGTAATAACGGAAACCACTGCGTGAAAGCCCTCTGAACACATTCAAGGTTCAGTTCAGTTCATCATTCATTTCAAATGCCTTTACATAAGCAACTTGCAACATTTTGAATAGCTACAGTTTACAAATGTACAAATAAAATTTGAAAGGATGCAGGCTAAAAATTTATTATAGAAAAATAAATGACGAGATATATCTGGCACGGTCTTTCAGTTCGAGACGTTGCTAGTGAGTTAATTCCACCTGTTTCAAAATAATTAGAGATACAAAATAATAACACTTTGAACACCCAGACGATGGTCATTCACTTGATCTTTCACAACACGATTCATTTTGAAACAGCTAACTTACAAGCAAAATCATAAAACAGCACTGGCAAAAGGTAAATGGCCGCGTTATTAGAATCCCAGGAGTAATAACGGGGCTGCTAGGCTCCTTTATTTCAAGGACCAAGAACAATTCAATTTTACGTCATCGGTGAGTCCCGTGACAAAGACTTTGCTGTTTCCGTTATTAGAAACGCGAAAGTAATAATGAGACCGGGAGTCTCGAACTAGCTTTGAACGATTTTAAAATACCATTGAAAAACATAATAGGCTTCCTGTGGTTAAGGATTAGCAGGTAATTATCATCCCCTCCAGATGAATAGAGGACAGATACCATATTATTTCTACGTCATTGGTTGTGTCTAGCAGACGAATGCGGCAAACTGATAAAGACTTTGGAAAAAGTGTTATTACAGTAATAACGGTAATAACACTGCCCGCCGCCCCTGACTGACTGGTTGCTCCATGCTTTACCTTTCCACAATCTTGCAAAAATCTTTGGCCATGCCACAGCAGATCATAACCAACTTCAAGACAATTTTCGCAAAAAGTTAGCTACATCTTCTCTGTGCAACGATCAACTGACTGGTTGCTCCATGCTTTACCTTTCCACAATCTTGCAAAAATCTTTGGCCATGCCACAGCATACCATAACCAACTTCAAGACAATTTTTGCAAAAAGTTAGCTACATCTTCTCTGTGCAACGATCAACTGACTGGTTGCTCCATGC